AGTTTTAGGGAAATGTACAGGCTGATGCTTGACCTGATTCATAAAGAAAAATAATATTAGTGTTGCATATATAATGAGAATAATATAAAATAAACATAGGCTTAAAGTAAATATAGTTGTTAAAAATGCTTTTCTTTGATGAGTTCATAAGGTACGTTGATAAACATATTTGCTAATAGGGAGTCATTGTCAAACATCACAAACTGCAGAGGACAGAAAGATTGGGAAAGTGGTAAATAAGAACTCAAGACGATACAGAATAATCTGAACTGCTGTCTTCCTTCTCCATTCTTGCAGTTTCTTTGCCTTCTCCCTCTAAACCTGTTTCATTAGAATAATAAGATCAGTCCTGTGGCTTTTGGCTCCACTTGCAAGCTCAAAAAAAGTGATTGTTTTTTTGTTTTGCCTAAATCAATGGAGAAAATGAGATGAATAGCAATGTCTAGTATAACTATGGCTGTTTCCATGTGAAAATTGATACCTTCCTAAAGGAAGATTTAAACCTAGCAATATTCATGTTAGCTGCTGGAGTTTAAAAAATCCAGGTCTCTTGATATTTTTGAGTTTTGATTCTTTGTGCTAAACTTATTTTTTTTTATTCATTCATCCAGCCTCTGGATCAGATTGCAAAGTACATCTCAGGGCAAGGAATTCCATTTCCCAAAATTGAGATAAGTGAAGAAGACAGGGAAAACTTGAAGGAATGCTATGTGTTTGAAGATGCTGACAGTCCACAAGCTCCAACAGTGCTTTTCTTCCCCCTAGTGAATGACACCTTCAAGAAATATAAAGCTCCTGGTGAGTCATCTCTGGCTAGTAGTTTTAATTTAAAGTCACTTGCCTAGTGTATCCATTTCCTAGCTAACATCTCACTGTCATCTCTGACCTTCTTTCTAATGCTGGTATTATGAGTCTCATCGGTGACAAAAACACCTCCGAACTGTGTGAGTGCATCTGAACTGTGAGAATTCCAGAAGCTCTCCTAATACATTTGAGATGAAAGTAGGCATATACTCCACAGGACTTACTAGAGATAGTATGAAAGTAAAACTCCCAAAATAGAAGCGACATGAGTGGTAATTCTTCAGCACAAGCTCTTCTACTCTACAGACATGGACTTGTTATGCACCAGTGCTTGCAAAGAAAGATGAAGGCAAAACCTTCTGGACGTTTTGGTGGTTGTGCATTCATCTGGGTTTTGTTGACATATTTAAAAGTAAACTCCCAAACTGAGGACTGAGTGAACAGCTCTTTGGTTTTAATATGAACTACATCCTCTGAATGCCATAATTTCTCCTGAACTTTCAGTGAGATGGTTGTTATTTCATCCAGTACAAGACTATCTTTCTTTCCTTTTGCTTGTACTTTTCAAGTTTGGGTAACCAAGACTTTATGTTGTCCAAGGAGTGGTCTACAAGCACTGCTGCTGATAATAAATGTTGTTGTCATTCCCAGCTGTTTGGGTTCACATCATTTTCGGACAGAGGCTTGATCCAGAGGCTGGAGAATATGGTGGTACAGATGTCCCTTTGGCAAATTGTCTCTTTCCCTTCAAATCTCCCTTTTCTGTCTGTAATGACTTAAATGACTATTATGAGCCATTTACTGCAATAAAACCTTATGGGTGCGTCTCCTTCTGTTTGTCCCTCAGGTGTGGAAAGGAGTCCTGAAGAGATGGCTGAAGGCAAAGTTGATGTTTCCACCATCCTTTCCCCATTTACTACAAGGGAGGTGTGCTTCAGTGAAGAGAATTTTGACAAACTAGTGAAACTGACTGATTACAATGTCCTGAATAATGAGCAGTTGATTATTGAAGCCTTGCGTTTGGCAGTGGCACGAAGGAAACAACGGAATTATTAGTCACTGCCCACTAGCTTCAAATCTCCATGTGATATTTCTTGGGTTTTCTGTTGTCTGGTAAGATCGAGGTGTTTGATGCTTGCCAGTGATACCTGCAGTAGATATCACATCATCCTGAGGATGTACTGGACTCCATTTTATTTACATGACTGTTCAGATGAGCAGATTGGAATTTACCAGTGCTTTAATCCAAAACAAACTTCAAGGCAACAGATTCATGTTTTGTTTTGCTACCTTGCTACATTACCAGTTGACAAATATGTATTCCTTATAAATTCAAACAGCATTGTGTAAGACAATGAAATATGTAGAACATATAAATGCTGCTTTGATTCACATTTTAATGTTATATTTCTGTCTGGCAGAACAGCAATCCATTGAACTGGAATTTTGCTGGTAGATAGCTAATTCATTGTGCTGGTCTTGCCTGTCCTAATTATTGAAGGTTATTATTGCTGACTACAGTGTCTGTCCACTTACGAGGTTTTTATTTAACTGGCTTTCTTCATGAAACTTCAAAAATACGTTTGTTAAGTTACTATCAGTGTTGTAAAAGTCTATACTGTTTTCACCATCAATAAAAAATACCTCTGAATTTAGTCATGTTTGTTTCAGACGGTCAAATGAGTCCTCTGAGCTGCTACTCACAGAACCACCTATACTCAGCCTAAGTAGTTGCCATGTTGCCATGTTGGAGCTGTTGCTGATTCTCCTTTCCCACTCATCTTCCCCTGCTTTGACTGTCCCTGGAAGATGACCTTGCAATTTCTCCCAGCATTTCATAAGATGTGAAGTAGTACATGATATATGAGGAGACTGGTCACAGCAGCTCAGAAAATGCTTAGGATTATTTTCCTTTTGATAATAAAAAGCTCTGACTGACGCAATGAACTTCAGAATGAGTCACCAGGAAAGAACTGGTGTTAAGATCAGGGGTATCTTGATTATGCACAAAGGTGACAAGTTTGTTTCTATGGAATAAAGTTCTAGGAAATGGATTGGAGTAAAAGAGTCTCTCCTATGGAAAAAACAGCTGGTGGTGCATCTTAGAGCAATTCAGATGGTGGAAGAAGAAGAGTGGGCCATATTTTTCACCTATAAGCATGTTCATTTTGTTCATACACCTGAAACACTTGAAAGGGCACATGTAACCCTTTTTTCAGGTACAGTATTGCATGTTTAAAGCTAGATTGTTAGCCCTCCGTATGTGACGCAGCTGTAACTGTGGTTTAGGACATCTGCTCACGGGATCCCTCCGGGTCTTTTCCAGAGAGATCTCTGTTGTTACACGCATGGCTCCTAAGACTTTTTTGCTGCAAATGAAACAGGGTGGGATGGAAGAAGTTTTGGTCTGTTTTACAGGGGAAACTTACTCAACAACTGGAGAGAAAAAAGCCAGATAGGTACGTGACACAGCCTAAGCCTGATTAACCCTGGTTTTCATCGGGGCTAATTAGCCCATCTTCTACCCATGACTAATTACTCTACTGACATACGTGTGCTGCATCCCAAGTCAGCCTTGGGTTATCTCTGCATTGTGTCCTGTTGGTTGATGCAAAATCTGCCTTTCCCTCTCAGAGGGAGTTCTTCCTATTCTCAAGATGGTTCTGCAGCTGTTTGCTGTAGCATCCCCAATATTTCAATTTCCTTTTTTTTTTTGAATCAGGGCACCAATAGTAGTTTTTAGTTTTTCTTTTTTTTTTTTTTTTTAAGACTTTCAAGATCATTGATAAAACCATGCAATATGCTTATAACTGAGCTGTTTGCAGTCTTTAGTGTGGGGTGTCCCTGCCCATGGCAGGGGGATTGGAACCAAATGATCTTAAGGTCCTTTCCAACCCTAACTAGTCTATGATTCTATATTTTTCTTTGGAGTTATCTTCCTTTGACTACTGCTTTTTGTGATCTTTTATCCATCCTTAATGTGTTTAAAGTTTGTCTGGGTGACTTTTATTGCATCTAGTTCTTACATTAGAGTGTCTTGAAATGCCAGACGTTTTATGCAATTTGAAATATGTCTGTGAAACCTTTACCAATCATGTCATTACTCATTACAAAGTGAAATGAGATTATTTTGAATTTGTTTTTTTCTGTTAAATTTCCTAATAGCAAGGATTTTTTTTTTTTTACCAGAAAAACCCCTCCAATTTTTTCCTTGTGTACTCAGTTCAGGTACTCCCTCACTGAAACACTGACCGCCTCACACGATGTGCAGTCCTCTGCACAGTGAAGCCTTATAAACGTGAGGACATGAAGAATACGTGAGAACATAAAGAATAATTAGTGTGAATTTCAACATAAATTTCACCCTCCCAAATGTATCTTCTTGGAGATCATTCATTGAAGCGCCTTAATTCAGATGCAAAAAGTGACAAATCTGTTTAAGAAGTGAGTGAGCCTTTAAACCTTTGCCTTTACAAGGGAAACTCATAGTTTCAACAGGAGATTTGAGTATTGTTTCATGCATTATATGTCACTGCAATAGCTTCTTGGCTGAAAGCTTACTGCCTGTATTGAGCAAAATGAAGGTGAGATGGGGATTAAGAAACAATCTTTCAGATGTGCCTTTAAACAAAGATCCATCTGTTTCCTGTGGTCAAGAATAGGCTACAGAAAGTCTTTTGTATGCACATCAGTTTGTTTGGATGTCCTTCACCAAAGAAATCCTTGTTGCTCACTCCTGGGCAGCCAGCTGGACCCTGGCTGGCATCAGCCACCTCCATACAGGGAGCTGAAGTTTGACAGCCCTCCACTGTGCAATGGCACTGTGGCCTCCTCCAGAAGTGTTGGGGATGCTAAAAGTATAAAGTATTTTCTCAGTGCCCATAACTGTGAAGGGAAATCCCTTTCAGGTCTTGATGTCCTCCCCACTGCAGCTGCAAAGACCATGCTTCTGCAGCGCTGGAGCCTGGGTGTCTGTGCCTCGGTGCAGGTGCGCAGCACACACTCACCTCCAGGGCAGGAGGAGGGGTTGGGATTGCTCAAGCAGTGGTGTTGGGGTGAGGCGGCACTGAGTCAGGCACTAACACATCTGCCTGCTGCTCCTGGCAGCTTAAAGCACAAGAAGCTGCCTGGCCGAGAGTCCTCTGAACCCATCCACTGCACGTTTCACACCTGGTTCAGACGCGGGAAAGATCACCATGGGGTTGTTCTTCAGTAAAAGCCAGGTAAGGAAAGAAAAAGGAGGTTCTGTGATGAGTTGTGTAGACAGCCCCTTGATGGCAGGGGGTACCTGCTGTAGGATGTGGGGTTCTGCCTCCTGTACTTTCAGCTCTGAGATTTCTTCTTCAGCAGCAAGGCTGAGAGCAAGTGGGGCTTCTGCCTGGGTTTTGTGCCTGCTTTGTGTTTTGGCCTTGAGGAATGAAAGGATTTTAATGCTGCAGTAATCTAACTACTTTGAAAATTCCTAATTAAAAAAAAATATATATATCTTTTTATACGTTACTGTTGTCCTTCACTTCCATCCAACTGAGCTAGGCAAAACAACCTGCTGAGGGAATATAAGGACATGTCAGAAATATCAGTGAGTTCATTGGGAAAGCCAGGAAACTAATATTACGTGATGTATTAAATACAGCTCTTTTAAAATTTGTGGGTGGTTTGGGCCGTAAGGGAACAAATGGTAGCACATTGTTATATACTGACCTATGGGCTTGTTGCAGTGATATTCCCTGCCCTATAGGCAGAGTGCTTGAACTGTTGTATCACTGCGTAGTTTTGCTCTTTTTCTTTTGCTCCTCTTGGCTGTTGGTGGGGTGGTTTGTTCTTCTTTGTAATTTTTTGTTTGGTTGTTGTTTTTGTTGGTTTGGATATTGGTTTAGTTTTGTTTTGTTTTGTTTTTAATTTAAAGCATTAAATGTGCAAATTTCCCTCCTTTTATTCCTTTAAAAAAGACAATTATCTAGGGAACAAAGTACCTCAGCTTCAGACCCCGTACTTTTGATTAAACACCATGTGTGTCTGATCCTTGCATAGGATGGGAGAAAATGACAAAATCGAGCCAGTTTCCTGGCAGGTTTGGTAACCACTTATGGCTAGGTGGTTTCCCAAGATTTCCATTGGTATTTCCCTGTGACTTTTGCGAAAGGGGAGATTGGATGGGCTGAATTACTCAGAGAGAAATAATTACAGAGTTCTTGCTTTCACTTCCCCCTACTGAGAAGTTTGGGATAGGTCTCTGGAAGACACTTTTCAGGTCCTCATTGTCTGGGAACCAGCACGGCTCTACGTCAAACATAACAATGTAGTGATATAGCTGTAAACCAGCTGACAAGCAGCATCATTACACCATGATATCGTTACTAATTCCTGCCCTGCTAGATTGTCTGCTATTTATTGTGAAATACAGTGAATATATTTAACATCCTTTGAATTCACGCAGACGGAGATGTGTGTGTGTCAGCTGTATTAATAGCACTGCAAGGCTCACTATCATACATTTCTTGTTGGGTTGCAAGAGTCAGACACCTCAGGTCAAGGGTTACCACAAGTTTCTTCAGAATGGAAAATGGAGGACATCAGATGTTTGGTTTGTGGTGGAACGTACATTTTGGCTCTCTGGCCACACCTGGCTGAAACCTAGGATGAAGGAGAAGAAAACGCAAAAGAAAGAACTTTAGTTGAGAAATGCCTTGGATTGTTGGAACTGTAACACTTAATTCAATGCTATCTCTGACTGCGCTTCTGTTCTTTCTCTCTTCATGCTCATTCCACAACTTTTGCATGCTGTTCAACAGACAGAGCCCTCTCCATGCAACTTGCTCACTGTAAAAATCATACGGATGAAAAATGCCAGGAAAGCAGATTTGTGTGAGTATCTTTGATATAACCTTGGAGCATCAAGATGCTTGTAAAACTATTTGGAATATAACCAGGTGTCACACCGACAAGTATTTATAAAAGAAGAGAGACAAGATGCATAACTGCAATATGCTGAAGATGAGATAGCATAGATGGAAGTTATTATTTATTCTTTTATCTTTGCCAGTGAAAGTTTTAAGTCTAGCCATGAGTTATAGTTCAGATGTTTGCACAGAATGCATGAAATATTTCACGTATGAATCTTCAAAGAAAGGTATTTTTATCCACAGAGAAGGCTATAACAAGTTTAGATGGGGCACTTCTTTCTATGGTTCCTTCTTACAGTAATGTCCACCCTGTGCATCCCTGGGCCTGTTGCAGAATAGTTTATGTGAGCTCAGGACTGCATACTTGACATCGCTCATGGACTGTCAAATTTGATTCAGCCATGGGAACAGCCATGGTTCAAAACTTGGCTGGGGGCTTACAGTGTCAGCTTTTTCTGTTCTTTATTGCTTTTAGAAAATGTCCAGGAATGAGAGTTACGTACAAGTTTATTAATGCGCTATAAATATCTGAACTGCAAAGCACTAGAAAAAAATCTGTGAATGACAGTCACCTCCACTCTAAGGAGATGTCTGATTGTCTTACATTCATTCATTTATACAAATAAGAAGGTCTGGATCTAGCAATTTTTTCTAGGAACCAGACCAAAATGAATTTCTTCAGTTAAAATGATGTAAAGTGATTTGTTTCGAGTTCTGTTATAGTTTCTTTAGATAACAAAGGTATATAAGGAGTGTCTTACTCCAGTTTTTATTGGAGGGAAGTAAGATGCTTTGTTGTTGCTGAATGTATGGGGAAGAAGGATCTGTATGAACCTTCCTACTGGACTACGTTTAAAGTGCAGAAAGGAGATTTGAAGCGCAGTTATAGGCTGGGGAGAAATCCCTTGCTACAGCTAAGGCCTAATTGAAGGTACAAAAGTGCACTCTGAACTGAAAGAAAAAGGTGTGGCAAACCATATCCTTTAGATACCTCCCCACAAAACTGTGTTTTATTAAACCATTGGCCTGATAATGAGCTTACCAAACTTCCTCTCCAGCTTTTTCTTATCTAGATTAATGCTTTCTATTTATATCATGTCTTGAAACTGCTTATATTCTGAAGGGTGTTTCCTATGTTTTGATGCTGTTCTTCTCTACACTAGAAAGTTTCTATGGCAGGGGACACATATTGAAATGCTCAGGCATTTCTGCTTCGTAGTCCAAGACACATCCCACCAGCCTGTAAAACTGCTTAAAGGAGCAGTTTGCATAACAAAGGTGCTTTCGGAGCATGGCAGAGGGTCCAGAGCAATAGTAAAGCCACAGCACTGGCTTTCAAGACTGAGGCTCTTTTGTCTTACACTGTAAAGCATATTCTGGATGTTGACTTGAAAACAGAAGAGCAGACAGTCACTGCCAATATTGCCAAGCTATCATCTATTTGAAATGGCAGTATCAGTCCCAATATTGAGGGGAAAAAAATTTTCACAAACAAACCAAAACTAACAGTTGCAAAAAGTGAATGCTTTGCTTGTTAGGTACTTTCATCATGGAGGAAAAGAAAATCACAGAATCATAGAATCACACTGCCTTGCTTATGCTTGATTGCTGGATCTGTTTTTGAATGACAGCTTCTTAATTCCAGTAACATTTGATTTTGCTGAGTTGAAAATCTGCCATTACATTTATCAGAAAGATCTGCTTTTACACCATTTCAGGACTTAGTTTTCTTTGCAGCCAGACTTGTAAAAGTTGCGTATTTCAATGAGACACTCTTGATCACAAAAAATCCTATATTTCAAATGGTTTAATAAATAAATTTAACCTCTGGTTAAACTCACCGGCAATATGAAAGTCCAAATTACATGTTGGTAACTGTATGAGACTTTCACTGAGAGGCAGAAAAATGGGAAACTTACAATAAAAAGTGTACCACTTGTACAAAATTTTGCTGGCTTGTGTGTAAAGCTGGGAGAATATTTTTGTTTCAGTCATATTAACAGTTCCCTAGAGGTTAGCTTGACACAGCCTTAGGAAACCCAGGAGCATGTGTACTTCGATCACCAGTGATGTAGACTTCTTTAGAGTACCATTTTCTTAACACTGATAATTTTTTTCTTCATTCTTCCTTTACACAGCTGTTTTTGTCATTTTTTTTCTCCTGCAAACTTTTCTAGATAGAACAAGCTGGGAGTTGTAACATATTTCTCATGCATCTTACAGATGTTTAACCATTTAAATCAGCTCATTCCGTCTGTCGCCAATTGTGCCCATCCTTTTCTTTCAGAAGTCAACCTCATTTTGCCATTTTCTGTCATAATCACTTCTTGCACTAGGTTTCTATTGAGTTTTTGTTTCACTTTGTTTAATATTTACCTACTGTTTAGATTTCTCAACCTGCTGCTGCAAGTTAACTTCATTATTGGTCTACCTGCTTAATTTTTCAGGTAATGGAGATGGGAAAATTGATCCCTAACAATAGACTCTCAAAGCTTCACTAACATCTCCCATGGAACACATAATACAGCACCTTGAATGGAAATTCAGTGCATAAGATAGTATTTTTATCTAAGGAAATTTTCATTCTGCTTTTCAAATCCTGAATCTTTTTAGTTCGCCCTTGCACTGTGCCATCTCTTCTTCCCACCGACCCATCGGTGTGTAAATTATAACACTAATTTCCATTTGTGCACTGATGCATAGCTGATAGCATTGATACCACCTTTGAAACCAGGGCCCTGTTTGTGTTCTTCACATTCCCCCTTCCCACTGAGCACACCTACGTCCCCCTCAGGCTCAGTGGGGCTCTTGATATTCTGGACCTCTGAACACTTGCCAGTTCCCAGATTTGGGCGTGTATCCCATCTGCATCCTGACTCCCTGACGGGGTGAGACTTGGATGTGCACCAATACAATCCACCCTAAAGAACATGGCTTTCTCTGAAGAATATTGCAGATTTCAAGCTCAGCCTCTCACAGTCCTTGAGCAATCACTATAGCTCTAGAACAGAAGGACATGTCTTTTTGCAGCACGTGGTTCAGCTTGGGCTATTCCCATGGCAGGAGACCCCTGATGCCAAAAGTTTGTGAGCTCCAGGCAGAGACTGAACAAGTTCATAGAAGAAAAATCCAGTGAAGTCTGGCTTAGGAAGTGTCTGAATCTTAAACTGTGAAGGCTGAGAGAGCATTATATGTTGCCTGCCCTCTTTTACTCTTCCTTAGACACCCACCACTAAATGTGGGGAGTATTCTCCTCTGGCACTGGTTTTCACCTCTAAGAGGACCAAGGGCCTTTCCCCAAAAAAGATAAAGGAGCTAAAGAACAAGATACTGGAGAAAAATTAAATCATTAAGTGAAGTTAACAAATGGCAAAGAAAGCAAAACAGGCTGTGAAGGTTTAAACAAAAAGGTCAGAACAGGCAACTGCACGAGGGCGCTGAGCTGAGGAATTTTAAGCCATCAGTCACTGCTTCCTGAAAACATCCAAGAGAACCACTGCCTGTGGGTCCTGGGCTAAATAGACCTTTGACTGATGTAGAGTTAAAAATATTTTTCAGCATTTTATTAATAAGAAAATGACATTTTTTAAAGCTTTTTTTTTTAAAAAAAATAGGCTTGTTAATTTTGGAAAATTCCAAGTTTGGTCTTTTTTTAATATAAGGCTTATTTTATTTTGGGTACAATATGCTATAAAATTATTAAGTATGTTTCAAATTTTTATTGAAACCCATATTTTGCAACATTGCATTAACAGTTCATCATTAGGCTTCTGAGATCCTCAAAAGAAGCAGTCAGTGAAATACATTATTGTTTGAGGAACTATGGTCCAATGTGATGCTTACTGCAGGAACCCGCAGGCTTCCCCTGGTGTTCTGTTCTTGCACTGTTGTTATTGTTTCATCATTATTTATTGCTTACTTCACCATTTAAGCAGTGGCAGTTACTCACCAACAACCTATTGTTCTAGGTGCTGCTTGAGATCTCATTACAAAATAAGAGGATGTGGACTGATAAAAGGAGAAAAGGGGGGGGGGGGGGAGGAGGAAGTAAGGATTTAGCTAGATCTCAGCAAACAGAAGTTTTAAGCAGGGATGTAAACGAGACTGCTGATGCTGTTGCAGAGTTACTTGGAGGGTGCTCTACCCAATGTGAAGGGCAGGGTGGGAGAGTGTGAAAGGTTTTTACTGCTGTTTAGCTGTTTTAGGAGGTAAATGTTGAATGTTTCCTGGAAGCAAGAACTGATCTCCCAGGACTGAATGAATTCTGACAGTCTGTGAAGGGCCTTGAGAAGGGAGATGTTTAATTTTAAAGAAATTAAATTATTTGAATAAAAAAATTAAATAGGTTGGGTTTTTTTAATTTTAAAAAAGAACATTAAAAGTTCCAGTGATCAAAATTATCTAATATTCACCACTCTAGAAAAGAGCAATGCCTGGCTGTCCACCCACCCTCAGCCAGATCTCTGCTCAGCTCCAGTGTGGGAGGAAGATGCAAAACGCTTTTCTCAGCTGGTGGTGACAGTTTATGATTTATGACATGGATGGGTCCGAGTGCAGGGAGACATGATGAAGGAAATGATCTGGGGAAACGATGTTTGAGACCATATTCTTGGTTCAGATCCTTTCAGCACCTAGAAATAATCTCAATGTGAGCACTTAAAGGCAGTCCGAGAGGAGACAGACATCCAGCTTTCTGGCCAGGTTACCAGTGGTCTGGTGGTTGCTTCTGTTAGCATCAAAAAGGCGTAGAATTAAAATGAAACCATTTTCATTTAGTCCTGTTTGAATTTGAGCTATCTATGAGGCAGGTGAGATGTTAGCTTGAGCCAAGAACAAGATTTTTAGCTTGTACAAGAACAAGATGTTAACTTGAGCCCTGCATTTTGGGATGCAGCATGGTGTTTTTTTCAGCATGGGTCACATTACTGTAATGCTTTCTAATGGTACAACACAATTACAATCCAGTCCTGCTATTATCCTGGAAGATAATTAGAAACTTAGTGTAATAACTGGACGAAGAGACCGTGCTTTCATAAACACCTGCTGCCACACCTGCTTTTGGCAGGATATTGCCCCACAGTGATACCATGGCTGCCACCCTGAGCATGTTTGACGGCTGCTCACGTGTTGTGGTGGAGGGGAGGGACACGACAGGTCCCTGCTGCGAAGCTCTGCGGTGTGTTTGAGCGTAATTGCTGTAGTTAGGTGGTGGTTAGGCTTACGTACCAGGGTAATGATGATTTGCTTGCATGTGGCTGACAATGGGAACCTTGTATGTGTATGTGAAAAGGCACTTGATACAAGGCAATGGGATACTGTGGTGTGACCAACCTGCTTGGGCACAGGATGTGCTGTGGAGCGCCAGTTCTCACATCTGCTTGTACGTGGAGCTGGTTGGGCAGAGTGTGGTCCTGAGGTACCTGAGATATGTAAAAAAGGTTCCTGGGTGTTCTAAGTGCCTTCCTCACAACACCTGGAAAATACGTCACGAACAAGGGGTAATTAGGTTTCGAAGTACAAAAGGCATCACCAAACACATTTTGCACAAGGGAAGAGGGAACCATGCTTGTTTAGTGGTGGTGTCAGAAGTCTCACAGCGAAAGTCAGAGATCTAAATGAGGTCAGGGCTCTGCTGTCCAAGTGGTTATTTCTTCAAGGCATATGATACAGTGCAAAAGCAGAGAGTGATCACCTACGGAAACAAAATTGATGCAGTTTTGAAATAATACATTGTTCTTTGCAACAGACAAAGTCAGTACATGTATTGATGTATGGGAAAGGTCAGTGACATATAATTTGGATCACTCACAGGCATGCATTTGGCCATTTCTGGCTTTCTTCCTAGTGGGGACAAGAGCTGCCAGCAGTCTGTGCTAATATCAATCTGCACTTCCCAAGAGCCAAAAAAAAAATTTATATATGGATGTTTCCTGTATGCACACAGAAGTTTGGGAGCTATTAGGACTGTTAGAAGCTCAGGTCATTTCCATATGTTTTGATATTTTTTTAGAATTTATTTATCTTTGTATAAACCACAACTACCTTCATCAAAGTTACTCTTTTTTCATTCAGTTACGAAGAAAAATGACTTATGTCTCAGGGGAGTCAGGGGAAAAAATAAAGTCTGGCTTTGTTAATCCTTCAGTTACACAGGAGTGCGATAAAGGGCCAAGTTGATTATTCTGTTTCCCAAAGCTAAGTTTACCAGTAAAACTGAGTGGGACAAGACACAAGTCTATGCAGATGAAGGTGTGTCTGCTATGCAATGGCAAGAATGCTTGAGTAGGTGGCGTTACAAATAGAGGAACTACAATGCTAATGATGGGATTGGCATTTATGAGCAATACTCCCCCATGCTGTCTTTGGCACTAGAGTAGGCTGTCATCTCTAACTAACAGATCTTGTTCTGTAGGGTGATCATCCCTGATCTTTTGAGTGTGGGTCCACAGGATTCTTAATCTCCTGATTCACATTTGTCTTTTATTTCCTAATAATGATGACAGAACATATTTGGAGCAGATTGCTATGACCTCAGAATGAAAGTGCTTGTTGATGATGTAGACCTGCAGACTGCTGCTAACCACAGTTTCACATCACAGCTTTGGCCCTGAACATCCATAACCTATGATGGAGCTCAGCTGGGAAGACAAACTATGCAACTGGTCTCTTCAGCTGAGAAAGGAAAATAAAAACATTAAAGCTGCCCTCCCTACATCTGGAAACATTAAAATTAATAGATGAATGTTATGACCTGCCTCTAATTGAAACAGCAAACCAGTGCTTGTGCAAAGAACTCACTCTGTGCTGGGAAGCATGGGCAAGCTTTCACCTGCACATAAAGTGTTGCAAAAACCTTTACCACTCTGGCTGAGGCACTGAGATGAAGGTGAAAATAGTGACATTAAGCAACATTTTTTTGTACAGCTTTACGGGTGAAAAATTTGCCTCGGGACTTTCTCAAAGTACATGTTGCACCATAAAACTTTTCAGCATTTCGATGCTTTTCTCATATGTGCTTATTTTAACCCATTTCACAGAGGTTTAAGTGCAATTTACCTCCACAGAGAATCAGTTTTTTATTTTCTATTGATTTTCTTTTTCTTGAAAAGCTCTGTTGTTGAGCTTTATGTTGTGCATGTGTTCCCTTATTTAACTTCACAAAATAGAAGAAAGCAGACTGAGATCAGTCTTCTGGAAGACCTGGTTTCTGTGACAGCAATGAAGCTTCATGGGAACCTTCAGTGCAATGAGCTCCTTCCTGCCCTGCACTGGCAGCCAGATGTGCTAGAGAAAGAAAGGGTGCTCCAGAAAGTAGACAAGACAGAAGTTACAGCCAGAGCTACCCCACAAACATTAAGGCATGTTTATGCCTACCTTTGGAAGCCCTTTGAAGTCTGATATAAATAGACAATGCCTATGTATCTTTTTGAAAAGGAATGCAATGTAACTGTGTATTTTGAATGTTTATTGTTTTTTCCAGCAATTAGAAGTAGTTCTCAATCAGAACAAACTGCTGGGCTTATACAAATTAAAAGAATCTGGTTGTTTAGCACTGGCTTTAAGATACCTTAGCTGGCATCTTTGCCTGCGTTCTGCGTATTGTCCTATGTTCTATGCTTCAAAATTCAATGCCTTGTAGGGTACTAGGTATGTTTTACTGGTCCATTGCTTTCACACTTTCCCCCTCCTCAACAGTTACCCAGTCTGATTGCTATGTGAGCCTGAGCCTGCCAACAGCTTCTGTTCAGCATTTCCGCACCAAGACAGTGCAGAACAGCAAGAACCCAACATGGAATGAAACCTTCCACTTCACAATTCAGAGTCAAGTTAAGGTAGGTTCATGGCTATCCATAACAGGTATTCTTACCAGATATCAAACTACCATATAGCCCTTCCACTCTGCAGGTCTTTCTGAGTTCCCTTATGAAGTATTCACACTGTAGATATTTAGCTCTTCATGGTTGGGTAAGTCTGTACCTGTCTGCATAGCCAATAGAGTCTGTAGAGAGCAACTGCAGAAATTCTATTTTTTCATTTTTGAACTTCTTTCCCAAGTTCCTTCAGCTAAAATATCTGTAGCATGTTTATTCAACCTTATAATCTGTTTGCTTGTTTGTTTTCTTGATCCCAGAACATTCTGGAGCTTAAAGTTTGTGATGAGGACAACACAACTGAAGATGACCATCTCCTCACTGTTTTCTTTGATGTCTCCAAAATCCAGCTTGGAGAAAACATTCAGCTATCTTTCCAGCTGAATCCACAGGTATGGATAAAATTCAAGGGCAAAGCTAAGGGGATGTGGTCAGGTGAGAACGTGGCTATCTCAGCTTTTCTTTCATGTGTCCCATATACAAGCTTTTCTTAATATTCATTTACCCACCTGAGTATGTCCGTATGTTTCGGTGTTGATGTCAAGTTACTTCTGTAATTACAGCAGGTTTTGGGCTCTGCTTCTACAGACAGAGTTGGCCAGTGTTATTAGACTTGATGGGTTGCTATCCTTGATACCAAAATATCAAGAGTTTACCCCAATAATTTTGCAGTTGGGGCTGGTGTTTCTGAGCTATGTGCTTTGTTCTGCAGTCGTAAACCCCAAACCCAATGTGACATTGAGCTTATTTGGAAAACGAAGAGAACACAGCTTACATAGCTGAACTATTAAAATAGTTGAACTTTCAGCAGGTCTTGATTTCATATGGTTGAGACAACTTTATAATGAAGTTTTAAGGACAGTGTTTAGGCCTAGAAATATGAGACTGAGTGTTGAATTAATACCTCTTTTAGAAAGGCTGCTCCTTCATGATGTATTTTTGTAGTGTCATAGAGTGGTTAGACTTGGAAAGAAACATAACCTCATCTAGTTCCAATGCTCTCCTATGGGCAGGAATACCTCACACTAGACCAGATTGCTCAAGGCCCTGTCCAGCCTAGCCTTGGAACTTTTCCTTAGTGCTCAAACTAGGAGGACAATAAGATAAGGCACAAAACCTACAAAGGAGGGAGAAAATCTCAAGGGGAGGCAATTACAAAAGATGAAGTCTGAGCATGCAAGGAGTCTATGTGCACAGACCTCATCAAACCAAAGCACACCCTCCAGAACATCCTGGGCTTCATACGGTCAGGTGTGCCACTATGTTCATGTGTTGCCAGGCACACCTGAGCACGCTGTGGTTGAGGGCTGGGAGAGGGGCAGGATGATTTGGATGTATCAGAGAAATCCAGCCTTACTCTTGATGAGGATTAGTGGGGACTGTGAGAGCTTGTGGGAGGAGAAGGGAAAGGGGAATTGTGGCTCTCCTGTGAAACAGTGAGGGGTCAGCCTGTGCCTACAGAAAGGGGAGCAACTCCCAAGAGGCCCTGGATTATGTATTGCATTCGTCCTGCAAGGTCTAAACTAATGGATACGATGTTAGAAGCATGAAACACTAGAAATACAACATATACAATGTGAAGAAAATTAAATCTGCTGCATGTGCAGTAACAAAAGGTGGACAATAGTTTATAGAGAGACCCCTGAAGAGCACAGATTCCCTTGGGGTATCTCTGATCACAAGAGGACTAACCTGCAGTGACAGCCTTCATTTTCTTTTGCAGGGAAAAGAGGAGCTGGAGGTTGAATTCACAATGGAGAGCAGGTACGTAAGGTCAAATAGATGATCTACAGAAATGTAAGCCAGAGAAAATATGTTGCTGACACAAAAGATCAGTTTATACTCGTTGCCCCCTGACACCATCACTGGGTGAATAGAACAGAGGTGGACTTTGTGTGTTCAGGAGATGCTTGTGCAAGGCATTTAATGAAGAAGGGGTGCATGACAGTGCATGATGTGTGTGTGTACACAGCGGGCATCCAGACACATGGAGAATGTAGCACAGATGTTGATGGGAGCGTAGAGTTGTCCCTGATGGCTGCCGCTCACCAGGCTACAAGGGGCATCCTGCAGAGGAGGTTGTTTTGAGTTTCAAACCCATCTTGCTCCTGACTGAGAGATCCCAGGTGCTTGCTTTGTCATAACAATGTGGGGAAAATGATACTTGGAATTTGGATTAGTTGTGGGAATAGACTAAATTTTATTTTTACTGTGTTTCTGTGCTGGCTGCACAGTTAATGGAGAGAATGGGCATGCAAATCAGTCCTTGGGCTGCTGTTGATTTTTAAGGTAATAGTTTTTCTTTTTTTTTTTGTTACGGGGTTGGATGAATTCACCAGCTTTTCAGCTCTGTTTCCCAGGTTTAAATTGAGAAATATGGGGCAATAGTGTAATTATGTCATCCCTGTGCTAACTTGTTTCAGTGTGTCAGAAAATGATCCTGTCTGATAAGTAAGGAGCTCTTCCATTCAGCAGATCTTCATAAACAGTTTAAATTTCAGACCGAAGGCTGTAAAAGGCAAATTGGATTGAACGGCCAGCTACAATTTCTGATGCTGTTTGCCCATGAAGCATGTTCAAAGATGGATTTTTAAAGATAATGAGTTTATGATAGAAGCAGGGTCAAAAAACTCAACCAGACAGGTAAAAGAGAGTGCTGGTTTTGAACTGATTGCTTTCCATTTTGTCTTTTAGTCCGGATCCTCCTGAAAACATCGTTACTAACGGAGTTTTAGTGGTACGTTTTATTTCATAATCCTTTCCCTGCCATATAGCAATGCTTATTGCAAAGCTAGTATTAAAGATTCCAGCTAGTTGCTCCACACAGTGACATGAAGGCATTGGCCAAGAGGCAGACTAAAGCTGGTGTCAGTACTGGCTTTCCCAGATGATCCCTGCAAGTGACTCACGCTGGGAGAGGCTGCAGCTGCCAAAGCTGTGGCTGCCACCAGTGCTCATCTCTGCCCAATCTGAGCTGGGCTCAGACAACCCTCTGGGATCTGCCAGGGAGAGCCTGGCTGAGCACCCTGCCCAGGGAGCCTTCCCCTGCTGCCAGTCCTCCCGCAGGCCCTCTGGGGCTGCTTCTCAAGCTGGGATTGAGCAGATCCCTCCTCTTTCCTCATCTCTACATGAGCTGTGATTTCCCATGTGGAAGCCCAATGCCACTTCCCTAGATCTAGTAGAGGGGTTATAAGGCACCATCTCTCCCCTGAGGTGTACGCCCCAAGCCCTGTGTACTGCACATGACTGAGGGACCAGCCAAGGCAGAGCTCTGCTAACAGCAAGCACCTTTTTCTCTTGCCCTGGTTGTCTTTTACAGTCCCGTGAAGTTTCCTGTTTGGATGTGCAGGTGAATGGTGGGAGGCTGAGGAAGGACAGTACAGGTGAGCCTTTCACTGACTTACAGGGGAAATCTGAACGTCACTTTATAGCAAAATGCTCAGTGTTTCACACTTGAACACCGGGGTTTGAAGTTATTTAGGATGCAAGACAATCTCACTGATGCCAGTGGCCTGTGGAGGAGGCTGTAGTTGGTAAAAAGTAGATTATTATAGAACATGGTGTGATGAGCGTGTGGTCTGTTTTCCCCAAAAAATACTTTGCTCTACAATTGTGTCAGATGCTTGTAATATTGTGAAGTATTTGTGCAGGAATTGATTATTTTATTTTTTGAGCCTTAAACTGGAGCTAACTCTTGTTACTTCTTGATTCAGAGACATAGAAAATAGAATGAGGATTTGTAAACATTTATAATTTTAACTTCTTAAAATTTCTTTCAGTATAACAATGTAAAACATGACACTCAATATATTTCCAAAGACATCAGTTGCACATTTTAAGCAGTGCATTGATACCATGTTGAGTCTGTTCTTGTGGACGTGTGTTATCTCCTATGCAATATTTAAACTCACTCTGACTTTTCCTGATGGCCCCAATCCAGCAAACTGCTTAAGCACATGGATGGTCCAGTTGAACTCAAGTTGAGCTCAGTGAAGAAGTCTGCTAGATGTGGCTGCAAATGCTTGAGTGGGATAAATCTTTTGAAGGATGATTATATACTTTTGAGTGTGTGGATTTGCAGAGTATTTTTCACCTTGAACCTGTGTTGATTTCATTCTATATAAAGACTGTTTTTCAGTTACTTGAAAACACATACCTGAGGTTTATTGTGTGAAAGCCAGTGCAACTATAGCAGTAGGTGCTATATGGCATGTTCTGGACATAAGCTCTAAAGCTGAAACCTAAAGGCTAAGTGTGTATTTATTTAACCAATAATTTGGGTATCAAAATAATTACTTAGGAAAAACATGTATTACATTACTGTGCAGAAAAATTATCCACCTTTTTTTGAAGAACTTGAACTTGAAACTCCTTTGCTTCAGAGAGAAAGTTTGCGTTAACTGTGGATGGGTCATATGAAGGAACCCAGATCCACACGCTGAGCTCCTGCCTCTGCCCGACCTCCCCGGCCAGGTTCCACTACATCAAGTATAATCACTCGGCGCTCACCGTGGCTCTACCACGGCGGAGGAGGCTCAGCCGGGTATGTTATCATCACTAATGTGTAGCTGGCTCTTTGCTGTGTATTTCTTTTGGGGCCTCTGAGACCTGAGTATGTGTGCAGATGTGTATATGTATGGAATTGGTAATTCCATGTATGAAAGATGTGGGAAAGACTGCTTTTACCCTCTTTTCCCCCTTTTTTTGTGTAGTAGTTGACTGTCATTACTTTTTTTTTTACCCTTTTTTCCAGTCTATCTCAAGTCAAAATGAAAGGGATATGAACGAATCTGTGACTCTAGCTCTGAACTCACTTCCTATACAAGAGAAAATAACAGTAGCAGAGGTGAGAACAAGTCTTTCTTACTAAAAACCAGCCCAGCATATGGACTGGCTGATGTTTGACATATTCAGGCTGGTGGGTGACAAGTCTTATAGTTCAGTGATTCAATTCCTGTCAGAAATGACAAATGCTACAGTCTAAGGTGTGAATGACAATCACTTTGCAACTATGCAATATTTATTCTGCATGTAGTTCTAGGCATGCTGCTCAACCCTGTTCTGAGTTTAAACTAATTTCCTCAGGACATATCTAACATGTTCATCGACATAGTATGCAAGCTAACAGTAATGGATATGACAATTAAGACATATTTGTGAAGGGAGAGCCTGAAGCGGAGGATAGAGAACATCCATATGCCTGTGGTTTAGGTGTCCAGATTTCAACAACCTTCCCAGAAAGTGATGGGTGAATTAGGTGTCCAGCTATGAAAACATGAGGGGCTTTAAGCCCACCTGCTTGGGAGAATGGCCCACTTCTATTCAGCCCAGACTGTACTGGAACTTATTATGTCTCTCACAGCCCAGACCATGGCTGGCCAGATTCTGCAGCTGCATTGCTAACTGCAAAGACAGTGAAACTCAGCTCATAGATGAAGTGGGGGAGGAAGGTGCAGGATTAATGACCTGAGCATGCTTACACTGTTTGTATTGCGATTTTCAGGACAGGACAATTGACTTGTACACACAGGCAAGTGAATGGTAAGTGTGTCTCCAGCAAGACCTGATCCTGTAACTGGGAGACATTTGCGCCTACACAGATCTCGTTTGAAATCAGCAGGGGTCCGTGCAAGCTCAGTTGTAAGCAGAGGTGTGTTTGGGTTGCTGGCTTTTGTTTGCCAGGCTCACCTTTATTCAGTGATGGAGAATTAAATCATGGGTACCCTTTCCTCCAAGTTTCCAAGCTGTTAGTGCAGCTCAATAAGTAGATCTCAATTTGTATGCACTTACTATGGCTACAGGTGGAGAGAGCAGCTCCACAAAATCAGATTTCTGTATTATAAAACCAAAATAATACAAAGGCATGGTAGCTGTTGCCCTAAACTGCAGTGCTTGTTGACTGGTTATCTACTTATAAGCATATATGGCAGCAAAAATTAATTACATGAGCAAATAAAACCAGAAATGTGTTGTAGGTACCTTGTTACCATACCAGGACAGTATGTCATGTTCTGCTCTGCCTTCCCTTTTGCATTCTTGTTAGTAGCTGCAGCAATTAGCAGAGGCCTGTCTGTGTTATTTCTCATTTACGCAGGCTGGTCTGTAAACAGACATAAGCATAGATAGAGTTGGCCATGGTGAATAATAATATAACAATATTTGTGCCCTGGTCTCAGGACTCAGGGTCTGTTTTACAGAGCAAGAAACCTAGATGCCCGCCTGGGGTTTGACCTGTGCACTGATGAACAGAATTTCCTGCAAAACCGGAGGAAGGTGGTTGCTGATGCACTGAAAAGTATTCTTCATCTGCAGGAAGATCTACAAGAGCATGAGGTAAGTAGGAAAGGCACTGCTGGAGTACTTTACTCTCTCCTTTCCCTCAAGCCTGGAGATGAGGAGTGATTTCTCACCTCCACTGGATGGCACATGAGAACCTCTGTCAGCAGCTCTAGGGCACTGTTTGCAGCCAGGGTGATCTCAGCTGGAGAGCTCAACAGTCTGTCTGGATGAGCAAAGTCTCTATTTCCACTTGGCTTTCAAGTAGATCATTTGAAGGAACTTCAAACCAAGGGGTTTGGTCCATGTTTCTTAAAAAATCCTTCCTGAGGTGCCAACATCTTCTACTATACCCCACAGGGATATCCAGCAACCTGCATTATTTATAACTTACAGAGCAGTTGTTTGATCTCTAGTTTATGTGTTACCAGAGTTTGAATGTTGCTTTTGCACATCTGTCATCTTTTGACATGGATGTGCTTTAATGCCATTTCTCAGCCTTTTCTTTTTGCCCTTTTCTGTGTTGAACAGGTGCCTATAGTGGCTGTGACCACAGCAGGATGTGGGATAAGAGCACTTACTGGCATGTACGGCAGCATCTTGGGTCTTCAAAAGTTGCGTGTTCTGGATTGTGTTTCATACATCAGTGGCTCCTCTGGCACAACATGGTGAGGAGTCATTTTGATACTGCTATTTGGGTCTTGTGGTGTTAAGCAAAACCCAGGCTTTGTCTAGGGTTTTAAATTTCGACCATGGTAAAAGGGATCTCCTGAGTTATTACTTCCAGCTTTGTCTGTGAATGTCAAGGTTGCCCATGAAAGGCCTATTATGCATCATGCATTTGGTGTAATTGAAGTGACTTATCTCTCACCAGAAGAGGAGACTTTATTGCAAGTGCAACCGTTCTTAATCCTGTGCAAAATGTCCTTTATGGTTACTTACTGTTGGACAGAAACAGCACAGATGGCTGTTTGTGTTGGATTCCAGACATGATTGACTTTAGCTTTCTGTTTCTGCTCAAAGTAAGCTCAAAGAGTAACCTAAAGATAAAACAGTAAGTGGTCAAAGGTCTGTAAAGTGTATCCTCTGAGTTTCAAAAGCTTCTTCTTCATTTCTGTCAACTCTCCATTGTATTTTCTGCCTGCAGGACAATGACAAAACTGTATGAAGATGCTGATTGGTCACGTAAGGATCTTGGAGAAATAATTATTGAAGCTCGGAAGCAAGCAGCCAAGTGTAAGATGGGAGCTTTTTGCTTGAGAAGTCTGAGGAATTATTACAGAGAGCTGAGCCAAAGGACCCAAGCAGGACATAAAACATCTTTTATTGATCTGTGGGGGCTCATGATTGAAGCCATGCTAAATGATGGGGTAATGTCTATACATCTTTCTTCTCATAAAGTTTGTGACTTTATGATCTTTATAAGAAATTAAAACCCTAGGAAAAGACACTTGGTGTATAGGCAGAACACCACTTATTTACATTAATAACTTGGAGACGTAGCATATGTCTACACTGGAGCCTAAAGTGTGGTTGAATGTAACATAGAAATGCTCAGACTAGCTCTAAAATAACCAGCATGCTAATTAACACTGTAGCTGTCCAAGAAGTTTTTTAGGTTCTTGGGTGGTTTTTATGGCCCGATGCTTTAATGTCTCCATTGCTGCAGTACTTACACTAGCTGCAGTCACACCTTGAATGTACTGAAGATGTACCACATATGTAGTTACTGCAATTTGTGTTACAGTGATGAGAAAGTGTACAGATCCAGAGTTCCTGAGACATTTTAGGTATAGAAACTTTGATTTTGCAGGTACCTTTCAGCTACTTTGGATTTGATCTCGTAGGACCTCTGGTTCCTAATTGTTGTAATGGCACAAGCAAAACCTCCCGTATTAGCCAGCAGACTGATGATAGCTGGAGAAATAGCTATTTTATTTTAAAATCCTGTACGTGGTTTCTATTTTGTCCACGTGAAACAGGTGAAATGATATAATGTAATTTCATAGTGTATTTCACATTGTATTTCTGGCCTCAATGTCACATAGCAAAATCTGGTAGAATTTAATTTGTCTGAAGTGCACTTGAAATCTCCATTTCATATAGAAGATAAGTTGTTAGTATTGGACAGCTCACAGATTTTTCCTCTGTGGATCTTAACTTTCAATATGGTTTTAAAAAAACATCTGGACAAAGAAGGGCCATTAACACGATGCCTCGAAGAACTCATAACAGATGAAGTACGTGATAACAGCTGAATTATCCAGACCTGCCATAGTTTTTCATTTATATTTAGCAAAGCAAAGTTAGAATAGCATGAGAAGCAGCCCATTACTGTCATTGTAATCTGAACGTAAAACATGGCTGCTTATCTTAACAGCAATTATTCTCCTTTCCATGATTTTCTTGCCCTCTGTTATTCAAACGTGGAAAAAGATTTAGGAGGAAATTCAGGAAAATTATATCCCATATTCAGATTTACAAGCTGATGTCTTCAAGGAGCTGATTATCAGATAATGTGTTGGGTTTTTTTTTCCAAATCCAGAAATGCCACCACAGACTTTCTGATCAACGTCAGGCAGTGAATCAGGGTCAGAACCCACTGCCCATCTACCTTGCCCTCAATGTCAAGGATAAAGTTGCCACCAAAGATTTTAGAGGTAAGGTTTCCATTCTGGAAAAGAGCTATGTTTTTCCCTGGGCAGATACAGCATGGGGATGCTGTAAATAATGACAAATGGTTTTAAATTCTCACTCCAAGTCCTGTTCAGAGGTATAAAGAGTGACCGATCAGCCACAGGATAGACAGCAGCAGTTCAGTATTTTATAGATTTTCTGGCATGTAAGTGTGCATGTTCAGACATTGACTTCAGACTAATAACACAATACAGATCCATGATAATGTCTCAGAAACATTACGAATTCTTATAGAAAGTGTTTCACTGGAGCTTTAGTTTTGCTTAATGTGTGTTTTTCGTGGTTGGCTAAAGGCAGTAATCAATAGAAGTCAACCTTTGTTTTAGAACACAGATTGCTGTGTAAAGAATTTAAATTTTCCCTTAGCCCTGGCTTTGTTCTTTCATAAACCCATAGACTGTGTGACAGCTGGTTCAGTGGTGGCTTTCAGCAGGATTTGCTCAGGGCACGTGCTAAGCCAGTTTGCCTGCTAGGGCTGGCACCTGAAAGGCTTATTCCATGTCTAGCAGCTGGACTGCTTTTAGTAGCAGAGCTAACGTTGCTGGTGCTTGTGTTGGCAGAGTGGGTAGAGTTCACACCGTATGAGGTGGGCTTCCTGAAGTATGGTGCCTTCATTCGCGCAGAGGATTTCGGCAGCGAGTTCTTCATGGGTCGCCTGATGAAGAAGCTGCCTGAGTCGCGGATCTGCTTCATGCAAGGTGACTCACCAGCCTGGGAGAGTGACAACATTTTCATGCAAACACTAATGATGCTAGAAATTAGTCCCCAGAAACCTGTTGTTCTGCTTGTGGCAGCAGAAGTACTGGGTCAGTCAGCTGAAATTCAGCATGTCTCCTGAAACTCAGTCACCTACAAAGGTGGTTTTATCATTTGGACTAAGATAATATGACACTAAAATGACAAACAAAGTTGTTATATGCCTTTGTGAGTGCTTGTGAAGCACCATCATTTCCTATAGCTTACAAAACCTTTGAAAATTGGAGATCTACACTTTGTGGAAGCTGATGGAAATGGTAAGACAAAATAAATATGGCAAGAAAGAGGGGAATCAGAGAAGGAGATGGCTGAAAATCATGGAATCATAGAATAGTTAGGGTTAGAAAGGACCTTAAGTTCATCAAGTTCCAATGCCCCTGACATGCACAGGGACACCCCACACTAAACCATATCACCCAAGGACTCGTCCAACTTGGTCTTGAACACTGCCAGGGATGGAGCATTCACAACCTCCCTGGGCAACCCATTCCAGTGCCTCACCACCCTACCAGGAAAGAATTTCCACCTTATATCCAATCTAAACTTCCCCTGTTTAAGTTTTAAGCCATTACTCCTTGCCCTGTCACTACAGTCCCTAATGAAGAGTCCCTCCCCAGCACCCTTATAGGCCCCCTTCAGATACTGGAAGGCTGCTATGAGGTCTCCACGCAGCCTTCTCTTCTCCAGGCTGAACAGCCCCAACTTTCTCAGCCTGTCTTCATACGGGAGGTGCTCCAGTTTATGAAATGAAAAGGGAAATAAAAATAGGAAAATGACAATGTAAAATTAATGAAAAAATTTTCAGGTAAAATATGTCAGAAGGAAAATCCTTTGAAATTTCTTCTGAAACAATTCTGCCTTCTGAGTCAGCTCTGCTGCTGAGACTGATCTCTGGGAAAATTGGATAGAAACAGAAAAAAGTGAAAGAGCAGCTGTGGAAGGAGCAGAGGCAATTTTTTTGAAAAGAACTTCCTTGTGTTTACCTCAGCACTACTTATTATACCTCTCCCACTTCCTAGGAATGTGGAGTAGTATCTTCTCCAAAAACCTCTTGGATGCCTGGCACGCAGCTGACAATTCAGAGGACTTCTGGCACAGATGGACCCACGACAAAGTGGCTGAAATAGGTAAATCTCAGGTTTTTGGAAAAAACACCCAAACTCTTATGTTTGGGTTTATATAAGAAATTTTCAGGTTTCTGTTGAATTCAGCTGTCCACAGCCAAATTGAATTGAATAAACTTTTTTTAAAAGTAAAAGTATTTAATCTAAAAATAAAATATTCAACTTTTTCTATTCTTTTCAAAGTAAGCTTTGAGTTTCATATTTAACCTACATGGAATCTAAAGGCAGTAATTCCTTTAAATGTATAAATAAAACGATTTTTCCTGTTTTTTTATTTGCGTGGGAAAGTGAATTACTTTAATGTGTACTGAGAAAAAAACAGAAAAATATGAAGAAAATGAGAAAAATGATCCTTTAGTCAGTACAGAATCGTAGTATAGAATCATAGACTAGTTTGGGTTGGAAGTGACCTTAAAGCTCATCTAGTTCTAATCCCCTTCCATGGGCAGGGACACCTTCCAGTAGATCAGGTAGCTCAAAGCTCCATCCAACCTGGCCTTAGCTTGGACAAGGCTCTGGAGTTTACAAAATGAAAGTAAGTTTGTATTTTCACCAAGAAATTAACCAGGACTCACAGCAGACTGTAGGGAAAAAGAACACAATGCTGAGAGCTGTCCCTTTCTTCTCTTTGCACCTAGACTCCTCTTAACTGTGGTTGTAATTCAATTGCATGTCATTTATACTGTGTGTCTTTAGAGGAACAACCTGACTTGCCTGAGAAGCCATATGAGATGGCTACATGCATGTTCACTCCTACAAGTGGCCTCTCCACGACTCTTCGGGATATCCTGACGGACCGTCCTGCTGTGTCCAAGTACCACAACTTCCTGAAGGGCTTCCAGATGCACAACGAGTACATCCAGCAGGAGCATTTTGCAAAGTGGAAAGGTGTGGACAGCACTCCTGCTTATGTGCCTCGGTGGTCATTGGGGCAGGCGCAGGGCTGTGAATTAGTGAGGGCCATTTAAACATCTTGAGGAGAGCTGAGTGAGTGGTGTCCATGGGTTTGGAAACACCAATGAAGCTTGAGCGGAGAGGCTAAAGGAAGCATTAGGATTGCTGCATTCTACCCCAAAGCAAAGGGAAAATCCTGGATGGGAGGGAGATTTGCCTTCCTTTTGCTTTCCAGATGTATTTTTTGCAAATTTGCTAATAACTCTGAATCTTTTACTCTTTAGACACATTGCTAGACGCTTCTCCTAATGACCTGAGAGGCAACTCAGAGCACCTGGAGCTGGTAGATGCAGCTTTCTTCTTTGAAACCAGCTGCCCACCCCTTTTGAGACCAGAGCGGAAAGTGGACCTCATCATACACTTAAATTACACTGGTGGATCACAGACCTTGGTGAGAAGTCTGAAAACTGTCTTGGTTTAGTAATGGTTTTCCCTCTGCTTTCCACAGCTTTTAGACAGTTGTCCGTAAAACATGGAACTTAGCAAAAATTAGCAACAGGGTGTTTCCAAACCATAGAAGAAGAATGAAAATTCCCAGAGGGGAAAATATCTTTAGTTTTCTCTAACTACTTTTAAAATAGCCCTAAACACTTCACCAATGAAATACAGTGTGGCATAGTAAAGTCATGCTTGTTGAGCTGCAACTTCTACTGCAATTATACTTAAGATTGAATAGATTGTGATTCAGGTGCTGAATTTAATCTGCATTTTCCTTTAATATATATTTTATATGTGATTTTCTAGCTGTTCAAGAACAACCTAATGAGTGAAGAATTTCTTCATCTTTATTTTTATCTTTTTTAATAAATAGAATTTTTCTCCTTAAATAGTGAGCTTGAAGCAAGATATTAAAGGCATTTGTTATGTTCACAGAAATCTGATTTAGTTAAAATGGTTATATAGATTTTGAAAGTGGTATTCACCACATAAAAAGGTGGATTTAGTCTTCCAAACATAGACTTGGAATTGTAAACCTGTCCTTGAACAGCACCACAGAAAACATGGAGTTGTGTCATTTTTTCAAATGGAAGATACTTCAATGCTCTTACATTGTGCTGCCACATGACACATGTTTGTCTCTGTACTGCAGCTGAAAAACTCGCATTACATTTCTTTCTTGTACTCATAAGTCTTCTGGAAATATATAATTCAAACAAATTGAGGTGGTAATTCAGTGTTTTGTTAGATAATTCAACAATGTTGATCATCACAAATAGGCTTTTTGATGAATGCTTTTACTGTTTTGAGAAGTACTATTTTGAGATCTAACATATTTTACTTTGAAATCTCATATTATTTCTAAAATTCTAAGTTATAGGTTGGTCTCAAAACCTTGCTGAAATCTATTGAGGTCAACTCACAAGTTATACCACTATATAGACAGATGTGATTATGAATCTTACTGTCTTGGACTGAAAATTTAGTTTTGTTTATATCTACAATCTTCTGACTTAGTTCTCACTTAATTAATGATGCTCTATAACATGCTTTCAATTAACCTGTTCTGTTCCTAAATCATATTCCCATTTTAGAAATGTGCCTTAATATGTATTTAAACCCTCATTACCATCTTGACATTAGGTGTTTTCCTGTAAGACTATTTCCAAATAGCTCCTCAGGGAAGAGGAAAACATATCTGTAGCTGCTGGTGCTCACACTATTGCTGGCTGTCCAGTACTACCACTCTATTTCGTATAACTTGGCTTGAACTACTGGGCTTCAGCAGCAGCCTGATCTTGGGTATCTATCTTTTCCATTCTTTATGCTGCTGCTGTTGGGCCATGACCAGCCCCTGAAGCAGGCTTGCAGATACTTCTCGGAGCAGGGAATTCCATTTCCCAGCATTGGCCTGAAGGATGATGAGAAGAATCTGAAGGAGTGCTACATGTTCGATGGTGCAGATACCCCAGGAGCTCCTCTGCTGCTTTATTTTCCACTGGTGAATGACACCTTCCAAAAATACGTAGCACCTGGTAAGTTAACAGTGCCCATTTAATTTTATTGACCCAACAAATGTTCTCACTCCCTGGACACTTTTTTCCCCTGCTCGAATACAAAAATCCTTTGTTCACTTGTTCCTACTAGAGAATATATTGCAAAAGGGGTTGACACAAACCATTTTTGTAATCAGGTCAAATCTTGGTCATAACTTTAAGTCTGAGTCTTGATGCAATTCAGTGAAAGAAGAAACAAGTTCTGCAAGTAGAGGGATGGGAACTAATTTCTTCTTGTGATTTGATTTCCAGATTTAGTGGAAAATTACCTGTCCAGTACATGATCACTCTGTGGAGGGCCACTGTGCTTTCTATTTTTGCTGTTTAATGTATCAGTTGTGTATTTTGGAAAATGAAAGCACGAACTAACACAGTCACTGTGCAATTTTGGGGCTAGTATTTGAGGTGCAGGCTTTGTTGTCACAATTTCCAAGGCTATTAACATTCTGCTTCTTCCTGTCCTATATATCTTTATTGCTTTTACCTTTAGTATGTATTTTACTTGACAGCCTGTAGGTTGACTGGAGCATGTGACCATATAAAATGTGGTGCCATGAGCTGGGCAGTAGGAGGTGCTGTTTGCAATAGAATGATATTTAGTGAAACAATTTCGATAGAATTTGTTCAGACATCATAGCACTGCTCTTGTCTTCATGGCAATTGCATTTGTGATCTCTCTAAATTATTCTTGCCATAATCTATCAGAGTACTGTAATTTGCTGAGATAATACAAGCACCCTTTTTGGTTCCCCTTGACAGGCATGACACGTAGCGCTGCTGAAATGGAATTGGGCAAGGTTGATATCTCCAGTTTCTGCTCTCCATACTCAACGAGGGAGGTCTCACTGAAAGCAGAAGATTTCAACAAGCTCCTGAAGCTGACTGATTACAACATCATGAACAACGAGAACATGATTCTTCAGGCCTTGCGCATGGCTGTGGCACGGAAGAAACAAGCTCTGAGCCAGCCAGCATCGCAAGCACAGTCCTCTGCTTGAACAGCATTTTCCTCTCCCTTACTAAGTATTTACCATGACAGCACATATGCAATATCTACTTCATTGTTCTTGGCAGCCACCATCTATTTCTAAGATTAACTAACCTTCTCAAAAAAGAAAACTTGAAGTATCTCTTTCAAATCCACACAGTTCAATTCACTAAGTAGGAGCTGCTTTTTTTGGTCTTGAGTTGTGATACCAAACACAGCTGTCTGTGTCGTTAGCACCATCTCACTGTGATGCTCTAGTGGCAAACATCCAGCTGTATGTGACAGGGACAGCTTTCTATCCCTGCAAACTGTTATTGTCTTGGTGGCTAGTCACTAGTATTTTCTCATCTGTAAAATATTCCAACATTTCATTGAGACCAGTGGTTATAAATCCATAAAGCCCTCTTCACACACAAAAGGTGGTGACCATGCACTATCTATTTACTATTTGATTTTAGTAACTGGAATTAAATGGTGTTCTACCTTTCAAGAGTTTTGTTTCCCAACAGCTTTTTTTTGTCATAAACTGTGGTGAAATATATATATATCTTATGAAGGATATTTGATTTTTCAAAGTTGTATTGGATAATGGATGTATGGATGATGGCCATTTAGGTCTTTGATGACATCTCTTCTTATCAATTAAATCAAACTGTATTTGTCAGAGTAATCCTGTTACTGTAAAGATCTGAGCATTGCATCACTTTGCAAAGTCTGTGGGCTTTCTGAAGTACTCTGGTTCATTTTCACTTTTCAGTTGTTGGATTTGGGAATATTTTGTCAGCATTAGATACCCTGCTTGACTTTACCTATGACCTTTTGATAGTAAATGGTGAGCATCTGTTCCTTCCTGATTTTACCAGCCTCAGACTGCTCAGAAAACACACATTCCTGAGACAAGGGAAATTGTTCTCCAAAGAACCCTCCTGCAGCATGCTCCACCTTCTCTATATCCCTTGTCAGAATTTGTGGTGCACCCTAAAATCTCAGATAATCTGAAACAAACCAGAAATAGTAGTTTCTCAGATACTGGCATGGTGGTTTGGGTTACCGAGTTCTCCATTTGTCATACATTCACACTAGATGTCATGTCCCAGGTCCCTGTCCTAGGACTATTACTAGGTTCCCTTGTGGGAGAGGCACTTGACAGCCAGTGTGTCAAGGCACTGCACCAGCTACTAAGAAGGAGAAAAATTACTGCTACTGCTGAACCCAGCACCCAATGTCAAGTGAGCTCCCTGCAGCTCCATTCCCTGCAGCACTTACTGTGGAGGAAACTCCTGCAGAGTGTACCCCTTGGGAAGGAGAGGTGATAGATGCCTAGAGGTTGGTCCTCCCTTTCTCTTTCATTGAGTTATTCGAGAATTAGTTGGGGGGATGTCTAAAGGAGACTGTGACCCCATGGGAACCTCACACTGGAGCAGGCTTCTGTCAGGACCTGTGGCCCATGCAGAGAGGAGCCCACGCTGGAGCAGTATGTTCCTGAAGAGCTGCACCCATGGAAGGGACCCATGCCGGAGCAGTCTGTTCCTGAAGGATGCACCCCATGGAAGGGACCTATGCTGGAGCAGTTTGTGAAGAACTGCAGCCTGTGGAAAGGACCCATGCAGGAGAAGTTTATGGAGGACTCTCTCACATAGGAGGACCCCTTGCTGGAGCAGGGGAAGAGTGTGAGGAGTCCTTCCCTGAGGAGGAAGGAGCAGCAGAAATATGTGGTGAACTGGCCAAAGCCCCCATTCCTGATACCCCTGTGCTGCTGGAGGGGAGGAGATACAAAATTCAGGAGTAAAGTGAAGACTGAAAAGAAGAGGGGATGGTGGGGAGAAGGTGTTTTTCAGATTTTGGTTTTATTTCTCATTACCGTACTCTGGTAATATATTAAACTGATTTCCCCAAGTTGAGTCTGTTTTGCTTGTGACAGTAACTGGTGAATGATCTCTCCCTGTCCTTATCTCAACCCATGAGCCTTTCACCATGTGTACTATCTGCTGTTCAGCTGAGGAGATGGAGTGATAAGAGGGGCTTTGGTGAGCAACTGGCATCCAGCCAAGGTCAAACAACCCTTACAGTAAAGAACTTCCTCCTTATATCCAATCTAAACTTCCCCTGTTTAAGTTTGAACCCGTTACCCCTTCTCCTGTCACTACAGTCTCTAATGAAGAGTCCCTCCCCAGCATCCCTATAGGCCCCCTTCAGATACTGGAAGGCTGCTATGAGGTCTCCATGCAGCCTTCTCTTCTCCAGGCTCAACAGCCCCACCTTTCTCAGCCTGTCTTCACACAGGAGGTGCCCCAGTCCCCTGATCATCCTCATGGTCCTCCTCTGGACTTGTTCCAACAGTTCCATGTCCTTTTGATGTTGAGGACACCAGAACTGCACACAATACTTCAGGTGAGGTCTCACAAGAACAGAGCAGAGGGGCAGGATCACCTCCTTGGACCTGCTGGTCACGCTCCTTTTGATGCAGCCCAGGATACGGTTGGCTTTCTGGGCTGCAAGCTCACACTGAAGCCGGCTCATGTTCATTTTCTCATCAACCAACACCTCCAAGTCCTTCTCTGCAGGGCTGCTCTGAATCTCTTCTCTGCCCAACCTGTAGCTGTGCCTGGGATTGCTCCGACCCAGCACTTGGCATGGTTAAACTTCATGAGGTTGGCATCAGCCCACCTCACAAGCGTGTCAAGGTCCCTCTGGATGGCATTCCTTCCCTCCAGGGTATCAACCGAACCACACAGCTTGGTGTCATCAGCAAATTTGCTGAGGGCGCACTCAATCCCACTGTCCATGTCACCGACAAAGATGTTGAACAAGACCGGTCCCAACCCTGATCCCTGAGGGACACCACTCGTTACTCATCTCCAGCTGGACATTGAGTCATTGACCACAACTCTTTGTGTGCAGCCATCCAGCCAGTTCTTTATCCACCGAGTGGTCCATCCATCAAATTGATGTCTTTCCAATTTAGAGACAAGGATGCCATGCAGGACAGTGTTGAACGCTTCCATAGTATTAGCACTACCATAGCTCTTCACCCGCAGACTGTTTCCCAGGGACAGAACACAAAAACATCAGTTCAGCTGCTGTAGGATCTAACAAAACTGCCAACAGTTAGCCACTTTCAGATCAGTTTTGGGATAAATGACTAAGTTTTTGGATAAATTGGCCGCTTCTCTGGTTGAAGGTCTTTTTTTGCTGAACTCAATGTTAATGGGAATATTATCTTGTGTCATTTTGCATATCTTTAATCAGAAGTGTAGATACCTCATCTTAAAATGGTTGATGACTAAAGTAATTTTCATTCAGTGATAAGCTGTAGGGTCAGAATTGACTCTCTTTATTTTGTGTTTTCCTGATGTGTGTTTGTAAAAAGGAAGACAGACTGTGGGTACTGTGAGTGTAGAGTATCACCTGCAGTTCTCAAGTGGTCATTCACCTGTGTATCTGCTGCTGCACAATTTTCTCTCAGAAAATGGAGAATTTGGTGTTATTTGTATATAATAGTTTGGTGATACTGCATTGTGTTTAAAATATCTAACTGTTAACATTTAAGATGAATCAATATATGCCCTAATTTGGAGGAGAAACTGTTCGTTTTGATTTAGCTAACTTAGAAGTTTTGTGTGGAAAGGTTTTAAAAGCAAGAACACTTGTATCCACCTCAAAATATATGAATGAATTCGGGGGAACATCCACCAGCAAGCAACTAAACCCCCTCTGCCTCAAAGAAGAGCAAAATAAATGCTTTTTTTTTTTGCTAAAATATAAGTTCTTTTAAAGTTATTTTGTCCACAGAACTTTTCGTTGCTGATTGGGGTGCTGTAGAGCTCTGTTTTCCTCCAGCCTACACATTGCTGCTGTTATCTTTTCTGATTTGTGGATTGCTTTGGCTGCTACGTCATAGGTATACATGCATAAGTGCTGTGCATTATCACTCTCTTATCTTGAATTGCTAATAACTCTTGGCACCCTGGTGTGTACGGCCTTCCCCTAACACACACCTTTATCAAATAAACTCAGCAAATGCCCTCCCCTTCTCTCTTTGTACTTTCCCTTTCAGGCAACAAGGAAGGTGGGGCATGTCTAAGCCACTTGCTCCTCAGTAGGTGCCTCCTTAAAGTTTGCAGAGGTACCTCGTGAGTCACTTCCAGCTGTTGCCTCTAACACTGAAGTGTCACCTATATCCAACTTGTATGCAGCTGGGAGAACAATGGGCTCATACTGGAGTGCTCGTGAGGTAAGAGCGCATAAATTCAGACCATAATGCATTAGAAGCTGAGGATCTCTGACATGGGTTTGTAATTGGGATTCTGGTGCCTACAAGGGGACTTGGGAGCTGTTAGTCCAAATTTATGTATGTATTTACTCATTTATGTCAGAATGACTTACAGCTTTGCTGGGATTCCCTGCCCTGTGGAGATACTTTTGGTCGTGGAGGGAAGCTCAGCTGCAGTGGGTTATTCACATGGAGGCTGGGAAGCAGTCTGAGGTACTTCGCAGCAGCTTGCTATGGATTTGAGCTGAATCTGTGGTTTGATGCAAGCATTATGCAAGTTGGGCTATTCCATAGCACAGCATCTCCTAGCTATGAGTACAGTCACATGCTGTGCTCAGGTAGCTGTGCTAGCAGCCACCTGCTAGTGGTGTATACAGGAGCGTCACTGACTAAAGCCAGTGTCTAACCATGGACACAAAGATGGTCCTAGTTTGCTATCTGTGCATGACTGACACCCAAGAAAATTTTGATCTGCCTTTGTCCATAATCTCTCTGAATATTGGTTTTTATTATTTCTTTTTTGTGGAATATAACTAGGAAGGAAAGACCTAAATCTGCCTGTTGGGCCCCAGGGAGTCAGCATAGTCTGTCCACTTCTCAGCTTAGACATTAGTCTGCTGTTTGACTGTGAGCAAGTTATTTAATCATTCTGTGCCCTGCTTTCCATGTTGTAAAATGGAGATTATAGAGCGTCTCTCCATAACACAGGTGTGTGTTAGCTTAAGTGTGCATTGATGCTTGGAGACCTCAAATGTGGGATCCCCATGGCTTAAGAAAGTGTGAATGCCTAACCATACTGGTTAAAGAAACACTCAGGACCTATAGGGTCATCCTTTTTAAAGGAGGGGAGAGTAATGAACAGTCTGGCAATGGTCTTTGTGTGGAAAGTACACGTACAAAGCAAGGAATGGGACTGTCCTCCCAGCTCTTCCCCTTGCTCTTAACCACTGAAGCAGCCTCATGAGAAAGAGCAAAAGTAGAGGCTTCCATCCAGAACCTGAATTCAGACAGAAGACATTAAAACATACCCTTCTGTTTTGGAAAGAGACATAAAATACAGACCAAGGTCAGTTTATCGCAATTCAAGAGTGGCAGGGGAGCTTATATCCAACTCAACTGGATCAATTCCTAACTGGAAAAAGCAGAGGAGTGACATAATCCCCTTAAAGAGATTTAATTGAGTCATTTTGCTAGCAGGGAGTGAGAGAGGCATTAGGTAATGACTTCCAGTGAAGCAATGGCTAAAGTTTCAGGTACTAAAATGTGCAAGGATTAATAATTTGTTTGTGTTGTGTCTAGTTATTTCTTTCCTCCTGTGCATGACATTTCAGCGAATGATCTTTTTGCAAATGTCCAGCATCTAGTTTGGGTAGGGAGGTTTCATTAACATCTCTTCCTAAGCTGTTTTCTTTCATGTAGGTTTTGTTGCATTTGTGCTGATGGTGCCTCACTTGCTGAACAGTTTAATTTTCCTCTTGGGACATGATGCTGTTGAACAATGCTAAGATACTGAAAACTACAGTGTTGTGATTAAACATTTTACTATGGATTGCTTCTGTTTCCTAGCAGTCCTTTGTATTCTCTCATTCTCCTCTTCCTGACCGCAATAGCTGAACACCTCACTACTTTTCATGTATTTGCTCTTCACTGTTTCTGGGAAAAGTTTCTGCTATAGATTTTAAATGGAAAGTTGGAATTTTTTACTAAATAAGATTATTTGAAGAAAATATATGCTTCCGTGTGGAATTTCAACAGTTCAAGATAATTAAACTTATCTTTGTCTGCAGACGTTTAGCAGAGGTGCTTCTCATGCACACTCACTTTTTCTAGCTTATATTTACTGCTTAATTGTTGATAAAGATTTACTTTATATTAAAAGGTCCTGTCATGCAATTCCAACATTAATTTTATTTACTACATTATCAGTTTTACTGTTATTTCTTCTATTAATGACATATATAAACAGAGGAATATCTCCTTTTTTTCAAACTCTTTTTTTTTTTTTTTAATAGACATGGTTTTAACTTCCAAAGCAGGGCAAGTTCATCTTCCAATTTTGCTGCACGGCTTCAAAAATTGCAACACGCAGTGGGAAGGAATGTTTTATGAGGCATAAAAGATTTAATATTAATGCAGATAATAACTTTGCCATTTTTCTGCAGATTGAAGAATGCCCTTGCTGCTCACTCTCAGTGAAAATCATAAGAATGAGAAATCTGAGAAAGGTAGACCTGCGTGAGTATGACACCCTTTCCTTGTGTTTCTCAGTAGTTCAGTTCTGAAAGCAGAGAATATAAGCAAGCACTGTAACTTGTATCTGTGTATGAAGTGTTGCCATGGTTTCAAATATTGATACATATTTGAATTTGAACTATTGTTAGAATGCAGTTTTGTATGAACAGTGTCTTTCAGTTTTTAGAGTGTTATTATTAGCGGAAATATCAAAGGTCTACTGTGGTGTACTGTAAAGTGTCTTAGCTGCTGACAAGCTTTAGAGCCATTTTTGCTAAATAAATTCAGCTGTTAATTCTCAGTTGCAGTTTTTGATGCACTGAGATGCAGGCTGCACCTTTGTTTCTCGACAAAAATGCCAGCACTGATGTCGAGGGGCCTCCAGAGCCTGTGGGGTAACATGGGAGCTTTGGTACCATCTTCTGTACCTGCCTGTTTTTTTTACAGACAGCAGAAATATGTACAGACACTTCTGAATTCCTTTTTGCTTTAAATCCTAAGCTATGCATTTCATGGCACATGAATAGAGTCACTTGAATGTAGTATGTAGAATGATTTAAGAAAGTAAAGATAACTAGTTAGGCCTACATATATGTATTTCTGTAGATATTTGCTTTCTCATGATTAGACTTTGCTCAAAAGTGTTTTTTTAATGCTATTTTTTTGTGGGAATGTATTAGTTACACAATTAATGTGTTTAACTATTTGTAAATATTTGAAATATATTTGTCTCAAAGTATATTTTAGGAAAAGATTATACTTCCTACTCCCATTTCTGTGCAGTTTGAAGTTGTTAAGTGAGTCAGAGGTGAGGACACAGATTTGAAAGATGGCACAGAAATAATTCAAACTGAAAAAAGCCATCAGTGCTTTGTTGGGGCTGGAGCTCAATTAGACCAAGCTGTGGTTTCTGGACGCCTGCCTGTCAAAAATAAGTATGCTTTGCTCTTCTTCAGCTGTGGCACTGCACAGCTAAAATGTTGTGCTTGTGCAGAGGGGCTGCGACTGACAACCCGCAGTGTCCATGCCTCCTTAGGTCTTGCACATGTCATATAATATAGAACTTGTTATTTCATTATAGGATGACTGTGGCAATCACCTATAATCACGATTTCCTGACCCTTACCCTTTGTGTCAGACAAAAGGTTGTATTTATACATGGTGTGAACATCATAACAAGAATTAGACTACTAATGTGTGTTGAAATCTCATAGGAATAAGGCTTACTCACGAGTAAGGAGAATTTGCTCCTATGTTATTTAGGTTATAAGGCAACTATAATCTGAGTAGTACACATCATTCCCAAGACACAGTTGCAATTTCTGGGCATGTTTGAATTTGGCTAAATCTTCCAGGTCAGAAATTGCAAGAACAGTGATGGCAGACCAGTCCAAAGTTTCATTAGGACCAACAGTATGCCCTCAGAACAGGCCTTCAATAAAAACTTTTGGGCAAGACAAACACCAAAGCATGCTTTTCTCTGCCCCACTCTCCCAAGAGATCTGTGGTTCATGAAGTCTGTGGCTCAGAGACCTGGCTCCTGAGTCAAAAGCAGTGTTTGTATTTAATTACCATGGCCAAAATACTTGGTACTCGGAGGCCACCAAGGGATTTTACTTTGGTATCTTCCAGCTCACTTTGCACTGGACCCAGATGCTCAGTGTCATAGAAAAACATCAGGCCCAGTTCATATATACTGATCTATATACTGATGTTGTTAATGAAATAGTTACAATTTTCTCTTCTTTTCCTTGCATGGGCAGCAGAAATGTCTAATTGACAAAAGCTTGTCCTCTTCAGGGCAGCCTTAAAAGGCCTTTTTTGCTATTAGTTAGGGTTAGTACTTACACAAAGACAACTGCCCCTTGTATTTCTTCCAAAGAACAGAAAACCTATCATTATCAGCTGCTTAACTGCAGCAGTCTCATGCTTTAAAAAAGCTTTGTGGCTATCACAAACCTTCATAAACCCATTCACCGTTTCTGCAAAATCTGGATTCACTGCCTGGATGGTGTTGTTTCTCTGCAACTGTATAGGATGGTATGTGGAGATTTTGGAGAGAAATGTTTAATTGCCCATAGTCTGAAGATTGATTACCCAACAGTGCCAGCTTGAGGCACTGACAAAATAGTGAGTGAGCCATTGACAGCATCAGAAGGAAGAGTCATATCTTGGGCTAGGGATCTCCACGTTCCTGCACCCCATTACAGTGCACAGTGACACACAAACGAGTGTGGTGGGTGAGACCAAAGGTTTCTCCTGTCCCATGTTTGAGAGTGGTCAAAGACAGGTGTCTGGAGGGGAGTATGGAACAACATCCCCAGTCTGTTCTTGAACCTACATGAACTGTACACAGCAACAACAGTCTTTGTGCCATCTATGGTTTCCAGGTCAGAAAAACCTTTGCTGCAACCTCAACGCCTCACACTTGTAGTGGCAAAACTCAGTTTTGCCTTCACTGCTGAAAGGCCTTGATCTTTTTCTGCCATCCAGTGACTTCCCGTGATCTTCCCTTACTTTCCCTGCCAGCTGACATAGTGGAGACTGAGTTTCAGAAGGCTTCCCACATGTGGGAAGGGATTGGTTGTTGCAAAACCCTAGTTTTCCAAGGGTTGGCTGACCAGCCCAGATGGCTGGAAGAGGGCATAGCTTTCATCCTCAAGTTCCCCTGCCTGTTTCTTCATAGAAGCCTTTGAAGGCCCTTTGAAGCCACTTTTATGCAGGGATCTGCATTTCTACCTTTTAAACATGGGAGAGTTTCTTTCCGGAGACACTTCTCTGCTGGCCAGGTACCAGTGCATTTCATCTCATGTGCTGACGATAACAAGAACCAGATCTACGTTGTGTGAATTCCTCAGCACAGATCTTGTTTTCAGCATCACTGCCCAGGCCTTCCTTGCTGTCCATTTACCTACCAGAGCACACCCGGCGCTCACTGTTCCCAGAGGCTGCCACTGCAGTCAGCAGGGCACAAGCTGCCTTGTGCAGCTGGTGGATCTGGGTTAACACGGCCCTTTACTAGGTGACAAGGTTCCCTGACCTTCTGGGTGGGAAATAAGATCTACAGAAAGAGAAACTTGTTTGTTTCATGGACTACATATGAAATATAAAGTAACATCTTCTACAGACATTTATTTCACAGAAATATTCCTTTCAGGAGACAAAAAATGTCTTTAAAAGTACTGGGCTGCCCTACTTTTTATTAGCAAGATCCAAGGCTCCAGAAAGCTTTTCCTGTAATGGCCTACAGCTACTTTCTTTCTTTTTTCCTTTAATACGACAGGGTGATCTCAATCAGTATTATCATCAAGCCTTAGGCCTGTCTTTAACTACAGTATTAAATCTTGGTCTTGTTAAATCTGAGCTTTGTTGTTATGAAGTTTCATAGAAAACTCCCAATACTACACTGCCCATTGATTTTAAAAGCTGGAAGGCGCTATTACTAATGTTTTTCCTTATGTCACCTAAATCCTGTGTAACACCATTCTAATAACAAAATCCCTTTCATTGCCATGTTCTCCAAAGGAAACTGTTGTGTGCAGAAAGAAATGACTGAAGATGTGCACACAACATGCTGTGTATACCTCTTACCTTTATCTCCGACTGTATCACAACTGTGAGGGGGCAGCAGCAGTCTGTTTGCTTTAAGGTGAAATCTCTTCCCTGTCAAAACAAGTGTGGTTGCTGACTTTTTCCATGGCTGAGCGAAATCCTGGGACATGGTCCTCTGAATAAGAGCTTTCATGTCTTCTCAGGCTGTCTCAGCTAAGCTTCTGATGCCACTGGATGCTTGAACAGGCTGCCTTTACACTAATGGAGAGAAACCCTAAAAGCAGCCCAGGGTAAATGCTTGACAATAGGAATCTGCACAAGGACAGAGAAGTAGATACATGAATAGTTGCCAAGTTGCAATGTGGCCTGTAAACAAGGATTTCCTAACTGGTTAAGAAACTGAAACAAACAGCTATAAAAGCAACAGTTAATCACTAGAAGCTCCTCCCTGTGATGTCATATCCTGAAGCAGAGCTTTTCTTACTGTAATTGTAAGCTGTTTTGATCAAGATCTAATTGCATAACTACCAAGATACCTGTCAAAATGGAGCCCTGGTTCTGATTGGTGTTTATAATAACAAAGTCATAACCACAGTTAATAATAGGAGTAATAAATAAATGGATAATCTCAGTGAATATTATGTGAATCAAGTTCACAGCTGCAGCTCTTAACCTCTGTTCCTTTCTATTCAATCTTCTTTTTGGCTTCATCTACACGTTACCCTAGTCTGCTCCCACACTTTCTCAGTTGATTGCTACCATCTAAACACATGCAAAAACCTGGTTTCCCCCAGGTTACCCATCGTGTGTTTGGTAGTCTAAGATATTTTTTCTATTTTTTTCTCTTTCTCAAATCTTTGATGGTCATGAGGGAATGTAGTGTATAGAACATACTGTGTATTGTATTGTATTGTATTGTATGCAGTTCTATTGATTGTACACATGGCAAGAAGTGTGGAGACAAAAAACCTGCTCTGTGCCTTGATAGCATAATAAGCTGCCACTGAAAAGGACAATGTTATGTATAACAAGGAGTTCATCAATATGTTATTTTTTGGGGTGTTCTTGCTCAGGGCACTTCCTTACAGCTATGGAAATAACTACATTTCTACTGCTAGGAATCAGTGGATTTTATGTAGGTACATATGCATTTTTTGCAGCCATGCTGGCTTCTGTGCATGCAGGACAGAAAGCTGTTCTGGTAGTTAAAAGTATTATGTGCAATTTCCCCCCATGACTTCCTTCAGATTCTTGGTGTAACCTTGGGGAAGATGAGTTTCCTGAAAACCTTAGTTCCTCATCTCTAAAGCAAGAGCATTAGGAGTCTCACAGGAGCATTAGGAGGATGAACTGATTAACATGTAAAGGACTGGTAAAAGGAGTAAAGAACCTTAGGTAAATGTTAGGCTCATCTCTGCCTCAAAGGCAAAGGTGAGAGCAACTACCATGTT